GTTCTGTTGTTGTTTACTTTGGTTCCCTGCCGCACTCATAGTGGTTGCATGTGTGTATTTCTCTAGCCTATTTAATTTTTTATTCATTTATTTATTTAAAGGGAATGATCACTGTGAAGTTTCTAGGAGAATCTGACATATACTCAGTCTAAAACAGTCCTGATCCCTGTCCCTAGCAACCTTCTTGGCCTCTGTCGCCTAGCAACCTTCAGTACACAATTCCTAATTTCAATCTGGTCTTTAATTTTACTTCTTACATTTCAACCACAGTTGTCAAATTCCATCGGTTGGGAAGAAGGCATTCTGTGCCAGATATTTATCCACTTAGGTCTAGAAGGAGAGCTATGGCAGCGTCCATCAAAGGAGCACTAAACACACTCTCAAACATTCTAGCTCTCCTATCCACTAACTTGCCTGTTGGGTTTTAATCTAAGCAATGCTCACTTCCTCTGCTTGCACGTTCCCTTTTCTGTAAGCTTTCTGTGAAAAGTATTATTCCCATTAGCACCTTGTTAAACCAGTAGCATTTCCTTTAGCTTGAGTTTCTCCTTTGCAGCCTCTCCTCCCCCGCCCCCCCCACAAAAGAGGACTGGGAAGTAGACTGAAGAGAAACGATAATCTTATAAAAATTTATGTTTGCATTATTCAAGGCCTTAACTAATGATGCTTGGCTGCCCCTTATGTTGCTTCTATAGAGCAGAGATGCCAAAATTATCAGTGCGTCTGTGTGTTTTACCCTGTAGGGCAGCAGTTCTCAATCAAACTTCTTCCATGAACTTTTAAAGTAAATCCTTTGTAACAACTCCCTTACTTTCCTGTGCATATATTTTACCTATATATTTACTTTTAAAACGTCAACACTTCAGCATAACTATACTATGAAAGAGAAAGAAATGGAAAGTAATTTATAATAAAATAAGCTTCACTAGAAGACATAACGAAGTAGTGATATAGCTGCTTTATGTACAATAGCCATAAACAGGTATTAGGAATAAAGCATCATTGGGGCTCAAAACCATGATCAGTGTTGGCTTTGGTGCTGAGCTTTTCTGAAATGGTGAACAAATCTTACTAAAGTTTTAAACAAAACAAAGTACAACCTTCTATCAAATTTTATGTTGTCGAATTTTGAAAAATTAAGTATGTATAAAAAGCATGTGAAAAACACTTGGTGTCTACATAAAATGGAATTAGAATCTAGGCTCAGATAATGATAAGTTTTTTACTTAGATCACTTATGTCAGTTGACATTTGAAAGTGTGAGGGCCATGAGCTTCTTCTCGATCATTCAGGATACCTAGCAGCTCACTGTCATCATGACAACAGAAATCCCCCACAAATTTCCAGAATTTCTAGAGGATAGCATCACCCCTGTGGTAAACAACAAATGAGCTCTTTGTAAATATAGATTTCCATCATCTTCACATTTGTACCCTCCAAGCCTCCACAGTGCCTGACGGTAAATGTACGTTTGCCGAGTCAAAGGAGCTATGGCGAGATTTGCTGGCGTGTTGTGAATTCTACCAGCAATTTCCATGGATGCTCTAACAGAACTTAACTTACTGCCAGAGATTTAACATTCTAACGTTGGCTTTGATCTCTTTCAAGAAGAAATAGAACACCTCCCCACTTGACCAATATTTACACAGTCTTTTGTATATTTTTGTTCCGAGGTTCATGATTCCATTCTTAAGCAAGCCACAACAATGAACTAGAGTCACGTACTGCCCCTTAGAGGTGCTACCTAAGCCCAGCTGAATGCACATCTGACCTTCCCATCAAGTGTTCATTTTCGGTTTGATGCATTCTTTGTGTAATATGTATCAATGGAGATGTCCAGTTGGCATTGGGATTCAAAAAAGTTTGGAGCTCAGGAGAAGCCTGGGCTGGGTCATCAGCATAGAGCGGGTTTCTGAAGCCACAAGGAAGGATGACTTCACATGGCAAAGCACATTTCTGATACCGATAGTCTGGT